GCCGGGGTGGTGGGGGGGGGGGGGGGGGGGGCGGGGGGGGGGGGGGCGGCGGCTTAAAGATTGAAATCTCCTAGACAGAAACCAATTCGACAATTTGAATTTTACCTAACAATACAATTATTTAAACAACTGAAACTGGCTTCAATCTTTCCTTTGATCAATAGTATGAATGTTACTTAAGATTTAGATTATCGACGATTATCATCATTAAGGATAAACACTTACCAGTTAACAAAAAGCTACATACTGTTCTGTTGTTTAAGACAAGGTCATCATCAATATGATGCGGCTGCTGTCTGTATCTCTCTGATGAGTGTAAGAAACTAAAATGAATGGAAAATTACAGAATACATGTACTCTCGCAGAATCTATGTTTCTCAGTGCACAATATGCCCACAAACAAGCAGGATAAATGTGGTTATGAGTGTAGGTGTGATTCGATGGCTGGTCTTAACCCATACTCATACCTTCAAGATCACGATGATAATGAGCATAAAAACAAATTGACATGACAGGAGTTCACACGAAGATATATCAACTTAAATAACGTATCATTATGCCTTGGTGTCTTCAGAAGAAAATCACACCTAACTCGCATAACTATTTCCAGCTCAGTTTAATTTCATAAAGTCATTTGACAAATGAAGTTAAAACGGAATTAGTTATGATTAAGTAGGTTCGCAGTTAGAAAAGTTGCACAATCATCTTTTCTGTTACTATTTTTTGTCAGTTTAGTGACCAATGTTCTGTCGAAAATATTGGTCCCTCGAAGCACTCAAGATAATTCTTGTAAACTTACATTTGTTGTTTCTTTGTTAGTTTTATTTCTATCTTAATTTTTATCATCAATTTGCACATATAAAATCTCGAAGTATTGCTTTTATAGTTGTCAATTAATCGTTATTATTAGTAGCTTCATTTAAAAACTTGTACGACATTGTATTCTTCACTTTGATTTCGATGTAATTATTGCTGAACCCATTCAATACATAGTTTAGATATGAGGTAAATCATATTCAATCGCTAGGGTGTGGGCGTGGATGTGGGTGAAGTTAAGAGAAACCCACAGCCACAGCCACACCCACCCACATCCACACCCCACACCCACACCTACACCCACACACCCACACCCACCCACACCCTTTTTTTTCTGTCTGATTGAGGCCTTAGCAATCTATTGGTCAATTCATTCTTCCTTTGACTTAAATATATGAGTTTTGATTAGAATACATGAGAAAGAGATCACTTTTTGTTAAAAAAAATTTATAAAGAATTATTAATGTTGAGTTCATTTAAAATGTGAAAAGTGTAGTGTTATCGGCACTTCGACATTTCTTGTTGAAAAATTATGATTCTCAAATCTATCGAAATATGAAAATGCTGTTATTACTATTTTTGAAATGCTTTAAATATTTTCTTGAAATTTCTGTTCTTGTCAGATGACTAAGGATAGCATAAAATAACAACTTATTTTTTTGAATAGTTGTTCGGTAGAATGTGATTGTAGACAGTGACAGTTGAGGAGAAGGAAGAAAAACAATCTCATAAATAATTAAAATGATTAAATTGCATAGATTTCCAGAACGCTAGTAAATTTAAAATAGAATACAACATTAACTCTTTGAGGACGGAATTGTTTTTTCAATCGAAAAGTTGTTTTTTTTTAATCACTTTTTATTTTGCTCTAAATGATTACATAAAAGTCTCATGATTATGATAATCAAAAAAACATTTTGACCTTTGATGTTCATCTGAAACTAGAAGTTCATCGAAGTCGCTCATTGATGTCACCACTGGTTTATGAATCATAATATTCGTCGTCGACTTCGTTATTTTCATAGAATTTCACTTTTTTAATTTTAATTATAAAATAAAACACAAAGAAATGAGGAATACAAATACTTTTATTTCCTTCAGAGTGGTAAAGTAAACAAAGTTTGTTGAGAAATTCACAATATAAAGAGAAACAATAAGTCTTTTCAAAATCAACAATAACGTCATTTTGTCAATGAGAACGATAGCATGTATATATCTAAGCGTAATAAAGAGCGAAAATATCCTTGAATTTTCTCGAAAGGTTATTATTTAGGCACTTCTCCAGAATACACACACCCCTTCACCTTCACTGCCAGCTAATGTATGTGCAGGGTGTGTGTGTTCTGAAGAAGAACCATTATTTAAATATAGTAAAGTTAGTCAAGATCATGATAATTAAAAAGTTCTATTTATATATCAACGAAATAAATAGAATGGACAAAAATAAATCTCTTTTCTATTTCTACAGAATATCTTTGACAAAACTTTTTTTATACTTTCCAAACTTTGCGAAGTCGGGTTAGTCCTGAGGATGTAATAGTTCGAATGATGATCTTATTAAATTGAAATAAAAGTAAATAACTTTGTATAATCTATTTTATTTAATAATAAAAGTTGAATAAAAATCGATAAATTCTTCAATTCTTGGAAATATTAAATTCCAAGAATTATTAAAAAAGGTTGATCTTTATTATAAATATCTAATTAATGTTGAATATGATATCTTGATGGTGATTCTTTAGTAAACATAATTGAATTTGTTTTTATATCAATTTTAATCGATGATTGATCTTTATAATAATATTTAATATATCTTTCGATATGAATATTTGCTGATTATGGATCATTGTTTTTAATTTAATAAATACTTTCTGACATTTCATCAAATATTAATCGATTTGGATATTCAATTGAACCATTATCATCAATTATCTATATTTATTTAAATAAATAATCGATTTTTAAACAAGAAAAATCAAATAACTTTTAATGTTATTATTTCATTAACTTCATCTGATATTCTCGAACGATTAACTGAAGAATCACGTCAGATTTTTATTGAAATTTCTTGAGCAACTTCAGAATAACCAAAATCATCTCTTGATGGATATTGATTACCAATATATATTAGAAATAATTTAAATAAAAATATTTTACTAATTATCAGTTAAACATGGTAATGTAAGAATACATGGAGATGATTCATCAAAATGAATTATAAATTATAAAAAAAAAATTAAAAAAAAAAAGAAAACTCAATCATATAAATAACGTTAATGTTGATAACTGAAATGAAGATCATACTATTGGCCAATCTGATGTTGATAATGATAAACGAAGGCGACAACTAGACGGCAAATATATACATACACCCGATAATGTTATTTCAATATTGTATATTTCCTTTATATTTAATTGTTCAGGATGTTCATGTGATTTATAATGTGTTACATTAAGAATTCCACTTGATAAAAGTATTGAAGATGAAGTTTTTTCAACTATCATACAAAGACGAACACATATAAGACCAAATCCAGTGTCAGAACTTATATTAATTTTAACTGTTGGAAAGTCAAATAGTTCTTTAACAAAAAAATCGCTTGTGTTAATTAATAGACCTGCGACAGTTCCTAATCAAAGAATAGAACTAGTTACGGTAATTCAGCTCTTTTTGAAAGAATAGAAACTGATATTAGTCAAATATCTGATTTTGTTCCTTCTGAATGATGTAACTGAGCTGCACAAGTGTGCTATAAGAGAGCTGTCGAAAAACTTTGGGCTAGGAGAAAATCAGATATTAAATAAGGCGGTTCTCATAAAAAGAATCAGTTCTATGAAGTGAGAACTGTGACAGGTCTGTGAATGAATACCACAATGATTGCTTAATGGAAGAGAATCAAAAGTTAATAATCTTGTATCATCTTCTCTTTGATCTATTGGATTATCAGGATTTTGATAAGATCCAAAGTGCAATAAAGATCCACTTGATATTCCTGTTTCTTGTGGAGATAAAAATGAAATTTTTTGGAAGAATATTATTTAAAATAGGTTCAGTTGTTAAATATTGAAAAGATAAATAATATTTAATTTGCTTTTGATTGAATTCTTGTTGTTTAACATAATTATTATTTCTTTGAAGATGTAGGTGTGGATGTGAAGAAGCTGTCATGACCGGTTTCGTCCTTGCTTAAGGACTCATTCAGATGGCTTATCTATTTAGAATTTTCAAGAAAAATTTCAAGAAAATCCGAAACAAGATATATCTTCAAAGTTACAAGAAGAATAAAATCAACTTGTAATAGAAGAATAATTTCACAAGGCAGTGGTGTGAAGAGGGTGTGAGGTGGGTGTGGGTGTCAGTTGAGAGAAGATGGACACCCACATCTAGAGGTGTTAGCCGCCGATTTTTCGCCGCCGCTGATTGAGTGAAAGGTCACAGTTCAAGCTTCCTCATTTTCTAAATTATCACTCGGTGATAATAATCAGCAATATCTCAAGGTTGATCTATGTGGCTATTAGAGATTGCTGAAACCAACAGACCTTTTAAAGAATAGGAATTAGTGTAATTTTTCTTCGATGAGATATGGTGTGAAAATCGAGCTCATAAGCAAATATGTCTCCTTTGTGATTTTGTGACGCTACCATATTTATTAGGTTTTCATTTGCCTTATTCCTTCATGCACAATAGATTCATCACTATTATTTTCTCCATTTTGCAATTTTTGACTTATTCAGTATGCAGTTTCGACTAATTTTCTAGTTTGAGTTCGAATATAAATGTAACTAACATTGCGATTCGAATTCGAATTCCAATCGACACTCTCCTGCCAGTTTAGAAAAAGAAAAATATTTAGTTTGAATTTGAATTTGAATAATCAATAAAAGCAAATCTTGCTCTTTTTCTCCACTCACACAAAAGTATCGATTTGAATTTGGATTCAAATTCTAATTTCAATGTTAGTTTTAATTATGATCTAGTTCGAGTTACCATAGGAATGGCACATTATCTTTATTTTACTTTGAAAGAGTAAAGTAAAGTAAAGTAAAGTAAAGTAAAGTAGAGTAAAGTAAAATACTATAGTTTGAATGTGGAACATAAAGTGAGACAAAGTTAACCAAACAATATTTTTCATGTATTCATAAAATATCGACATTTTTCGGCTTTACTTTTTTTTTCACACTAATTTTAAGACGAAACGATATTGAATAAACTTTGATACGTTCTAAGATTATTTATACATGATCCTGAACTAAGAAATTGCCAAAAAGATTTAAAACATACAGCTTCATTTTTTTTCACTTTACTTTACTTTATCCGATACAGTAAAGTATTTAACTTTACTTTATTTGGTAAAGTAAAGATAAAGTGCCAGCCGTAAGCTATCATGTTTGAATTAAATTTGTATTTTAGATGGATAGTCACATTATTGCCATTTTGGTTTATATCATGGATTCTTGTTGTGTGGTTTGAAGTTGTTTTATGATGGAACCATGTGAATTTTTGAATTAATGAAAATAAAGTTACATCTAGTGGAAAAATGTTTGCATAAAAAGACATGAGCGTGCTAAGAGGAAAACAGCGTTATAATTCTGTGAGAACAGAATGTCTAATGTTTGTCTTAACTGTAGGGATCTACAAAAGACCCTGTGAAATAACATAGGAAAAATGTTGTCCTCGCCGCCGAAAATGACCTCCTCGGCAAGAGCTCCCCGCCACCGCCGATTAAATGATCGGCTAACACCTCTACTAACGTCCCATACCTACCCCACCCACACCCACACCCTTACGAATTTTCCAGAGTCGACCTAGAATTTTTTTCAAAAAACTGTACAATAAAATCGATATCAAACAAAGATAGAAAATGAATCGAGTTAATTGATCGCTGGTTTGCATTTGAGAACTGATTCATTAAACAAACCGACTGACGCTCGAGAGATACTTGGAAAAAACCAATTACATAATATCATTTTTTTTCGTCGTTTTTATTGCGTCAAAAAATAGAAAAATAATGGATCTACGTTACTGTATGTGCCAATATTTGGAAGGTGAAAAAATATTTGCTGTTCTAATCGATATTTTTCGGCGACATCAAAGACTGAGACAAGTATCTTTTGCGTTCTGTTTTCCACGTGATCGACACAAATCGATGTAAGTAGTACGGCACATCTTTTATCGTACATTAGCTATTTATGAAAACATGTGAGAAAAAGCATCTGGCGATAGTGTGCAATCGAACATAAATGCAACTATGAGTGTGGGGTGTGGGTGTTAGTATGCTCTTCAACTACTCTTACACCATTTCCACACATCTACACCCACATCCAATAATCTTTGTGGAATTTATACCAAATCCAAAAAGTGAAATCTAGCTGCAGTCAAATACGGTCAAATCCAAATGTAAAACTGGAATTGGATTTGGTGCATCCCGAGTTCTGTCTCTTTTGTACAGAACACGGGTTTATATACGAAAGACAAATGAAAAAGGTGAATAGAGAATAGAATGAGCAGGCAGTTACTAGTGGTAATGAAGTCAACACATCTAACAGAATAGTGACCGGATGACCTTATACCCGTTGAATGAATAAAGAATGAAAAGATGACGCACACTAATTATGGGCACACTGAGCTACATGCTTCTCTAAAAAAGATTCATTTATTACCGAACCTACAAAAGGATTTGGCGAGGTAATAAACCAAAAAAGGATCTTCGCCTGGACACACGAGAAGAAACTTCACTTTTGAATCGTTTTAGGTTCCGTGGACAAGAAAAAAGCTTTGCAGAAAAACTACAAAATCGTCGGAGTTTACTAAAAATTTCTGGGAGTTTCGTATTAAAGCTTCAATATATTTTGTTGAAGCTACGAAAGCTTTGTAATTTTTCTACGAAACCTTTTTCTTGCCTACGAAACCTAAAAAAGCTCAAAAGTAAAGGTTCTACCCGTGTGTCCAGGCGAAAATCCTGCTTTCGGCTTAGTAGCTTGGTAAACCTTTTCTTAGGTTTGGTAGTAAACCGATTTTTTTAGAGTATGTGGACATAGATAAATCATATATAGATGTAAAATACATATTATCAGCGAAGGAATGTTATTGTAAAGTACCTCCTACAATGATATTTCTATTCTCTACAGTATACGAAATAGTATATAATTAAGATACCCCATGTGTTAATAATAAGATCGCATACTGTCAAACTGATCCAATGGAGTAGGTATTCATCGTGTTTAGAAAAACAAAAGAATATCGTCACTATTAAAGTAATGAAACCATTCTTCGAAGATAATCTCGTTGATTATGTCAATCAAATAAGAAGAATTATTTAATATAAAGCTCTAAAATAAATAGTAACATTCATCCTACTAAAGATGAATAATTCTTCATGAAAATATTCATACATTCATAACTGAAAATATTATAATTTTCTCACAATCAAGATATTTCTTGTAGTACCTAGTTCAGATAAAAGTTTAATCAAATTATTCGATTCAGTTTGTTGACAATTTTGTTAATTGGTATGCTCTTTTTAAGCAATGTTTTATGTTAGTAGTACGAATGTTGATTTTCTGATATGAAGATCGTCTCGCCATGATCGCTTATACACACATAGTTTCGATGCCTTTCAAATATTATCAACCTGCTATCCCTCATAGATTTGTATCGCATCAAGTTTTATTCATTAAGTTAAGATAATAAAAATATCGTTAGGATGGAACTAAACGTCTTATGTGAAGAAATTAATTTAAAGATCACTAATCAGTTATTTTTCTGTGATTGGTAAATTTTGGAGCTTAAGGTGTATGTGTCCAGTATCTTGCATGTCGTTGGTTTCGTTTAGCATAATTTCTAGCGCTCGAAAACATACAAACGTCTGCCGTAATCAGAGATATTTTTTTTTCTTCTTTGTTTCTTTCTTTTGATTTTGATGTTGTCTTTGTTGATTTTGTTTACTAATATCGTCAGAGACTGAGTTAGTTTTACTTTGTTTGGTTTCAATTCCCAAGCATAGAGCATTCTTATCAAAGAGGTATTCCTAGAAATAGATTCGGTTTTTATTTCTCCCACTCATATTTAAATAATATAAAACAAAGACATGATCAGACCTGCAATTGCTGGATGTTCGACTTGTTGATATTGATATTAATATTATATGGCTGTAAGCCGAATCGTTGTCGTGCGTAAAGAAATACACGACGAATATTTAACCAATCTTATATAATAAAAACAAAAACTATTGAGTATTATTGCAAAAATACAATAATGTTTATCACTGACTTTTCAAAGACAATTTATCAGTTAAATTGTGAGTTAAACAAAATGGATCTTCAATAGCAATAGTCGGATGAAACCATCCTTTTTCTAAACGTAATAATGGTTTATCTTGCCGAATAGTAACAATATTAGTTTCATAATCAAATCGTTCAGTATAATAGCGTAAAAATTCAATCCATAATTCACCGGATGATAATTTATTCAAACCATAACCTTTCCAAACCTGATTCTGAAAACCAAGACATCATGATACAAAATTAAAAAAATCATTACTTAGAATCATAAATACTAACTATGTTGTTTAAATTATCGTAAAAGTAAACATTCCAATTGCCACATTTTCGAACGTTGGGAACATTTGTTGATAGACCATCGTTCAACTAGAATTTAAAAACAAATAAAAAAATTATAAAAGATTATTAACAGAATAGTATCCACAACTTGTTGTAGAATGGGTATAATAGGTGGCTGAATTTGTTGAAGAAAATGTAACACCATGATTGTATATGCATAGCTTGACAATGTTCCACGACTCGCATCACATATATCACATACCTAAAATAACATACATAGAATCAGCTTGAAAGTCTACTTGAGATTATGATGTTTCAATTGAACATAAACAAGTAGTAAAATCATTATGTAATACTTTTGCTAAATTTTTCATGACGAAGCCTAGTTCACGAACACGTGGATCAATATCGGAATACATTTTTAATAGTCGAGTATTTTCAATAGGCTAAATAGAAAATAAAAACTTTCATCAAATAAAGATTCAAGGAAGATGTTAGATGATATAGAAGAATGAGATCACTCATCAACGAGTACCTGTAGCNCTATGTTCAATAACATTGAAATAGTGCGCAACGCTCGAGTACCAATTATTCGATCATCAACGAGTATCTGTAGCGATTATTGTTTTTGAAAGGCGATATATATAGTTCGACAATAACGCACCAGAATGTTACTTAGACTAATATCGACTTCGATGTTAGACTTAACATGTGTTGATCGAATAATTGGTACTCGAGCGTTGCGCACTATTTCAATGTTTTTGAACATAGTCATATTCGATTGAAGAGATTGAGCTATGTTTTCCAAAACTCGAATACTAGATTCTTTCTTCTAGAGTGTAAATCAATATAATTAATCGATAGAAATGTTTTGAATCAAAAACAGACGCTCACTTCCAGTAGAACACAAACATCGAGATCACTCTGTCGAAAACCGAAACCATTATAGAAGGAACCAAATGCATGCACATGACAATTGGGATATGTTTTTCGAAATTCTGTTTCAAAAAAATTTAAAATTGCTTGGCGTTTTTCAATATCTTGATTGGTCGGTTTACATTCATCTACAAACGATCATAATTGATGACAAAAATAAAAAGTGATAATTCATTGAATAAATCTACCTGTAATTTTTCGACAAAGAAATGAGAGTACATCGGACCAATTTTTGCTGATTTTAGGCAATGCGATCATGGTTGGTAAAGACAATTCGATACATTCGCACTTTATATGATCGGTTCTATAGCACATCGTACATACTAGTGGAGCACCCTTAACGATACAACCAAAATATCATGTTAATGTGGTTGATGGCAAAAAATTCGTACTTGATCAGCACCGAAGTTTTTTGCTTCAAATTCATGGATAACTTGAGCAGTATTATCGAGCGAGATGGCTTCTAATGATGCCAGTATATTTTCAGGAATGATATGCTCCAGTTGAATCGACTGAAAAGTAGGTTTAGTTGAAGGAGTCGAAGTATTGAAGTCTTCTATGAGTTTCTGAGAGTGAGATTCGTCTGTGACATTATCGACAGAGAGCAATGCACTCAAATCAGATGTCGGCAATATTTTGAAGCTATTGATGATATCACGCATTTTTTCATTGAACTCACGAACTATAATTAGATACAATGAATAGAAACATAAATATCATATTAAAATCAATGAGAGAGACACAGAGTGTAACGAAGTGAACATTGATATCATTTGAAAGAAGCTCTTTGTAATACTCAAAATATTATCTATCAATCTAACCTTTTCTTCACGATTATTTTCTATTGAATATGATGCATTTGTTAATTCTGGCATGTTTTTACAAAATGTACTGTAAAATGATGTTGAACTAAAATAATATTTTGACTTTGATTCGTGTTATGTAAAATTTTATTCAATACGAAATATACTATTCATTTTGGATACGCAAAGTAAATCGATGGCATAGCCCCGATTTTGCTGAAAAATGTCAACATTTGATAGCAAGTCTTTGAGATTAAGATTCAAAAATAGAGAATATGGTATTTCACAGTTTTCTGCAAATATGCAAAATCGGCTGCTAAATCTCTCACAATAAAATTTAATCTAAGATCTTTTTCGGATATTTTAAAATGTTACTCTGATAGGAAAAATAACAGATATTTCATAATAAACGATTCATTTATATTTTCTATCTTTGAAGCATTTAACTGCTATTTATAAATTTTAATTTTTCATGACGTTAAACAAAAATTTAATTTCTTAAGAGATTGTCGACTTTGTTTTTCGAATAGAATTTTCTTTGTGGATCACAGCTAGCAAGGTTAACATCTTTTCTATCGTACAAGCAAGTAAATCAAAAAGAAGACAACGATAGAGCATTTTTAGAACCGAATCACAGGAAATTTCAAATGTACTATAATGTTCTAGACAGAATTCTGATTCGTTTAGTATGACTTTAAAACTGTTAGAAAAATATTTTGGAGATAAACTTTCTAAATAGAAAACGTGGAAACACCGAAAAACAATGGGTTGAATGCAAATTTAAATTTTTGTTTTCGAATGACTCAAAGTAGCCTAAATGTTTCAACTATCTAAGTAAATGTACACATACCGTTTTGTCCACAACTCAATTCAGCATCATATGGTACGAGAGTCAGTATTTTGTAGACCGAGTCTAACTTGTAATAAAATTATTTTTCATAATGAACATAAAACTACGTTAAGGTATTAGTTGACAACTTTTTTTTCTCCTAAATAAATCTTGCAGAACCATGTTAAGATGATCAGCGTGTAGAGTAAAATAAACTCTATATTTAATGTATAACAGTTAGTTTTGAGCATCAATCTTTATGAACAAACGCTCATATATATATATATCGTTTTTTATGCGTAGAACTATGTGGCACCCTTTATTTAAAAGCAAATGTGTACAGATGATCATAAGTTTCCTGGAATTTTCCCGAATAGTCGTTCGGACCTGCGAATAGATTCTGCATGGCTGCTTTCTCGAAGCGCAATCTCCTCGAGGAAAAACTCTAAACATAACTTTTCTGTCTAAAAAACATTATCAACAATGCAGCTGACACATTTTTACATATGACATTGGCATTGATTATTTAGTTTTGAGAAAAGTACGCTGTTAGTAGTTAGTCCTTATTTGAAAAAAACCAATGATTGAAAAAGAGACAATATTTTTACTGCGGAGAACAACGACTTTTTTTAACGAGTGTCATTAGTACAAATAACATGCTCGAAATATGAAGGTAAATTTTTAGAAATAGTTATTGTTGATTGTGCCGGGAAAATTTCAAAAATATTTCATTGAGTTTTTCTATTGAATTTTTGAAAACAACTATTGTACTCATTACTTCTTAAAAAAAGTTCTTTGCTAACTATCTTAAATTTTATGAGATGTCAAATAATTTTAAAGAAATTTTATATTCTTCACAAGAATATTTCGGTTACAAATTACTATGTAAGAAATCTTAAATTGACTACATAGTTTCATATCTTATCGAATAAATAATTTTTTGAATGAAACGTGAAAATTTCCTCGTTTCATCTGGACGTTGGCTAGTCTTGCCAACTATCATGATCGATTTCATCAAATGCATTTGTATATTACCGTGTTTTTGATATTCTAGTCTGAAGGTAAGTTTTTGATTCTCATCGAGATATTCAACGAGTGTTTCAAACGATATGGGCTGTTCGATAATATTTTCCTCCGAACTGTGAATATTATTTATCCCTTGTATGTTTTCGAATTTCTCATTGTTTGATCTAGAAGAAACAAAAAAGGGAATAAACTATTCTGAATAATCAACTGAATCGTTTTCATTCATTTACCTAATTATCTTAACCTCATCAACATCTTGCTCTCTTGTTACAATATCAGAATCTGTCTTGAAATCATCCATGTATGGATCTTCAAGTTCGACTTCGCTCACAGATGTTTCATCTAATAATGTTAACAGATTGTTATCATTTATTTGAAGCTTTGGCTCAGGCCAACGATTTAATTCATTGTCAAATGTTTGTTTGTATGCTTGTCGGAGATCTTCCTGTGTGCAATTGACACCTTTTTTGAGATCAGATAGTAAAGTAACAAAAAATGTTTCGCATGAACGATAAATTTCCTTCATTATCACATTATTTGCTATTTGTGATTTTCTGTCATTTTGACATAGATAATTCAATGCTCTCTTCAATGTTTTTCGAAGATATGCGAACGAACAACTTGCTTTCATCATGTAAGCTAAATTTCGATTAATGTCCATCGGATCTATAAGACAGAAAAATAAGCGTCAACATGAAATTTCAACTGATATATTACCTGCACAATATAGATTTCGACAGAATTTTTGTTTTTCACCTTTTAGAATTGGCATTCGGGTTTGTATCGAAACAATATAATGATTGAAGTCAAATGCAAATTGATAGTAAGAGAGCAATTGAAGAAAAAGCATTTCGACAGATGTGTTATTTTCGGTTTTCCATGTATGGACATAATCGTTGCAAATACGGAAGAAATCAATGTATTGATCATCGTTCAATATCACCAGTGCTTGATCAGCTCCAAATATCTTTAATTTTCGATAAAATAGAAAAACAGTTAGCAAGCATGAGAAACGAATACTTACGTATTCATGAAGACAAGGCAACACGGGTTTTTGAATTTGTTGCAGAAAATGTATGAGCATGACATGAAAAATATACGGATGCAGTGTACCCATATCAGGTTTATCCAAAACGCAGATCTAAATGGAAAAATAAAACAAGTCACATTAAAATATTTTACGATCGGAAAAAACGCAGCTAACTTTAGCAAAAAACCGAAAGAGTCGTAACAATGGTAGTACGCGTGTATCGAATCTTATATAGTGGCGAATGATTTCTGTGAGATAAATTCCTCGATTGTAATTTGATGTTATTCGTATGCGAAAATTTGTTTCTGGTACGACAAAATCAATACAACATGGGTCATGATCTACATTCAGATGAATATTCTGGTAAAATCCTAATGGAATATCGAATGGTTCTAAAATAGTAGAAAACATAATACTGAATACCAGAAGTGCGGACGATTTCCAGTACGTCTCTTAGAGTATTGTAAGGAAAAAGTTCATTGCATTGAATATCAATATCGATCACAGCTGAGTCATTCAAACAGCAAGCAAAAGATACGGAACCATATAAAATAACTTGAACAGCTATTTAAGAAAGACCTTAGATTGTTAATTTACCAAATATATTGTCTGTCGGCTACCTGGTTTTTTTGCTAGAATAATATCCCGTAATTGGTTATATAGATGTTGTCCTTCTTCAAGGCTTGCCATAGATAAGTATTGTTTGACAATAACTCTGTCAAAAACAGGTTTCAAGATCGTTAGATGCTCAGACGTTACTTCTGTATCAGAAATAACATTTTGATTCTGTCGCATCTTAAAAGAATGAAACATTTCTTCTAAAGATGATGATAACTTAACATATGATGACTGCTTACTCTATTCTGTGCATTATAACGATTGTCGATGTAATTGTATCCACTCGGCGCCACTGCAACAAAAAAATTCTTCTTCTACAAAATTCAGAGTTTCTTGAACAGGTCTGTACTTAATCTTCTTCCTTCATACCATAATTGTCCGTATGGATGAGCTCTATTTCCAGACCAATATGCGAATTGTTGAGGATAAGAAGTAGTTAACAAAGGAGTTTCACCTTGGTTGTTCCAGGCATGTGAGGGTGGTGTTGGCCAGCGGACCCCCGAAAATTGCATTGGATAATTGGGGTTGACTTCAAGAAGTGGGACCAAGTTGCCTGATCTTCTCTCGTCGTAATTTAGTATCAATTGTCGTCTTGGCTGAGACATGATATATGATTGTGACTGAAGGAAAGAGTACGTCTCTTAAAAAGAAAACGATAATAGTGTCTGATACTTTTCTGTAAGACACGTGGTCGATCTACAACATAATTCAGATAAGACTTTTTATCATTATCTTAATAAGTAAAACACTGTTGACTGATAACACACCAACCTCTTAAATAGCTTTTTGATTAAGTCTCTTCAAACCTACCTTTAAGAGTCTTTTCAAGGGCAGGAATATCCTTAAAAAATAAAAAGAATGACAACAGGGCTCTGTCTAAATTTGTTGTGTTTTGATGGTCGGCATGCAGAATTTCTAACAAGCAAAATTCAAAATTTTGTAGACTTGTGTATATTAAACAAAAAGTTTCACATGCATCTACAACCACATGTAAATATGATAGTAGAATTTCACTACTAGTAGAGGAATTCGAATGCACTAACTAGAATGTATATCTCCCAAACAAAAAAATTCTAATGAAGATTTCAGAAACAACAGCAGAATATAAACAAAATTCTCTTACAACTGATAAAAGACAAACTGAGAGTACCAATGCTATGATTGAATACATAGAATATAAACAAACTAGCATAGGGTAGTACTATTATTTCATTGCCGTCTTCTATATATTCCAAATTCTATTGCGCCTAACACAAGACGAACTCAGCATAAACATAATCTTATTATAATATAATGCACACGATATTCTAATGAAGAATGAAAAATAACCCAGAGAATTTAAACAGAATACTAACCAAAATATACATAGAGCAAAATTCAGTAACACATACACGTTGTGCATACAGATTTTTGTTGTCCAAAATACATGTTTTATACTACGAATCTAAACAAGGAGCAACAGAATTCTGTTATCGAATATACATATTCATATATAAATACATGATTTTCGGTAAAAAAAAGAATTTTATTCATAATTTTAAATAACAAGAACAGAGTTCTTATATGCAATATTGTGTAGTTTCTATTTCACTAACAACTAAGAACAGCAAAAGTGCATTAGCCAACAAAATTCTGAATTCTGCTTGGTAGACATTCTGCAATTGCTGGAAATATATTGGGATTCCCAGATAAAAAACACTGGATTCATATGAAAGCGGTCATTCAGTGAGAATAGACGGACAGTATATTGTCCGATGTTTTGCTCTCAAGTATTCACCATAAGTATCGTAAAATTGCAAACCAGATTGTCGACCGATGATCAAACAGCCCTGTCTGTGAATCTCAACTTATTCCTGACGTTTATAAAGCGTAAATGAAAACTACCAATAAAATTCATTGTGAAATGATGCTGACCTCTCCGTTTTTCGAAATATTTCCTAAGGTGTTTGATGAACAAATTCTAAAATTTCAGAGCATCGACAGGCCAGATAGTGATTTAAGAATCATCACAGATTCAGATTGTCATAGTAGTTTCTATTAAGAAAATATAGAATCAAATGGGTGCAAAATGATATAGTTTTCGTTACTCATTTCTTAGATAGATTCTACCAATGATTTCAAGAAGAAAAAAAATGATCTGTCTTACATTATCTCATATTTTTGAACAATGTTTAATCACAAGCGAATGAAGTACTGTAGCAAATTCGTGGCTTTTGTATATTGTGAATTCTACTTTTTGAACCAACCCCATCAAACGCTGACCACGATGAGTATACAGATTGAAAATGTCTTTGATGTTCAGAGTACATTCCAAATATTAAACAAGTTCTGTAACCAACGACATTTTGTACACAATGCAAAGATTATGAAGTGGTTTTCTTCTGTTAGGTGATCTTCAAATTTGGCTCGAATTCCCGTAGTGAATAACAATAGGAAACTCTCATTTATACATGATAGGGCAGAAATGATTTCGAAGTTCTAACGCTCGTTTGGATCATTTCAATGAAAGGTAATGACTTTTTTGAACGGTAATTTAGTATAATCGGTTAGTTTATGACTTTTCGAGAGTTTTGATTTTCAATATTTTACTATATGAATTTTTGCCTTTCGATCTTATTCTCTCAATCAATTAACACCCTTCGAATATCTTCGAATGGAGGAAAGTCAGTGCTGAGCATATTAATACAGAAGGGAATCTATTTTGTTACATATATTGGGTGTCCTGCAAGATCGAAAAGTCACCAAATTGAACTAGCTGCTTGTGTACACACTATCTCAAGAAGATCTATGGTTCTTCCGCTGTCTGTGCAGACAAAATTCTTTCGAAAAAGTGTTTTAACTCGTTAAGATTTCGTAATAACATCAATAAGCAATAGTGTACACATTGTTAAAATGGCGTTATTAAGAAATTTTCAACAAGTTAAGACATGCTACCACAAATTGTACCCGTCCAAATGTGTAACTTTTTCGAAGTTTATGCGTTTGCTTTTCGCTCTTGCTATTGATTTTACGGATTAAAGCACTTTTCAGAACTTAATAAATTTTAATGCAGTTATGTTTCATAGGCACACAAAATTATTTTCTTTACACACTGGTTGACTACATTCAATATTGCCTTATTAAACTTGCTTTTTAACCGAGTTCAGCGCTGTCATATAAATTTGTTAACGAATGAACGTTAAATAATGTATATTGTAAATTCAAAAACAACTTGCTTAGAATTGATGTAACGTATTAGTAGGTGTCCATATCTAAATTGAATCTTGGACAAGATATTGTCACGTATTGAAATTGCTTTAAGAAATCAGTAGTTAAGGTGATTTTCTAATTTATTAATACCTGAGTTATGAAGTAGAAACATAGTGAAAGATTACTATGAGAAGACAGAATAGAAGAAAATCAAAGACGAAGAAAAAGAATAACAACAACCATCACTGTAGATATGGGTGTGGATGTGATTTTATCTCCGACACCCTAAACGATGGACGACAACAAGTGAATGGAAAAACGTACTTTTAGATTCGTGGGCGAGCGGCTCTAGATTTTGAAATTGCGCAAGAAAACTGACTTGCTAACGATTGATGAGGAGAAAGCCTACCAGAAAGAACTGAATTTTTTTCCAAATTCTATAGGTTTCTGAATAATTTAATTGACTCTAATCACTGTTTGCCGATGATCTTAGAAACATTACCGAGATAATTCCAAGTTCGAAAAGAATGCATTGGATCTAAAAGTTGTGATTTTTCAAAAAAATATTCTTCAGACCGAATGGAATCTTGGACAACAATAATAATAAGCATAACGAAATAAAATGAAGTTCATCAATTTTCGTCATGCATTTGATTAGAAAACCAATAAAATTTATTTCCATTGTTTCTAATGTTACTCTAGACAATAACATGCCTTCGTATGGCTTTACTGTACGTTATCAGCGGTGTAATCAAGGCAGGAACAAATAAGCAGTTGCCCATTGAAATTTTACTTTTTCAGAATTGTTTATTAATTTGCTGCTACATACATTCACAAAAGACCTCGGTATAAATCCAGATAAAATATTGAAATTATATACACAAATGCATCATCGTCGTCTTGATTTTGGTGTTTGAATTTTAAATATAAATCGT